AGAGTGGAGTTGAGTGGAGCAGGAAAAGAGCTGAGCGGAACATAAAGGCAGAAGAGAGAAGAAAAAAAAACGACATCACATCCCAAATAGAAAAGCTGAGAGCAGGACTCAGCATTAGCGATCCATAGATAGCTCAGTGAAGCCGGGGGTTACACGCAAAAAGTCATGTTTTGTTAATATGGGGGTTCAACCTGCAAGATGTCAAGAGACAGGAAGCCACATTATACAGAAGTTACGCAATGCCAGCTGAGCCACTCAGCACACTGCATGACTAATGCTCTGTTTATTCACTGTGGAATAACTGGCCGAGACCTAGCTGCAGCTCACGCACACACACACACACACACACACACACACAAATCATTTGAACTTTGAATTAATCTGCTGTCAAGTGTTTGCTGTGAGGTCAGGACGAATAAGTTATCAGAGTCATATTAAACATATTCCCTACACCGGGCAGGAAAGGCTTCAAAAGTGAGTTGATTGTTTCCAGGCAAACTTGCAGGGGGGGGCGCAATGGTTAGGGCCATGTATTGACTAACTATTATTGTATTTCCAACTAGAAGAAACGACATACATCCCACTGATCCCACTGATGATGCAGCTTATTAGGGAATCGCTCCATCAGAAACCTGTCACATATTTTGGCTTCAGTTTTGTACAACAAGCAGAGGTGGAGGCTGATCGTTCACCTCTATAGTCACAGTGGCTATGTCAGTAGCTTTAGAGCTGTTATTACACAACAAGATATCAGCGTATTCTATATATGAAAACAGTGTTTCCTTTATAGGAGGGCAGTGACATTAAATGTATGGTGGTGTATACATGTTCTTTTAAAGACACGTTTTCAGCAGCAGGTTGAACTTTGGACTCTGCAACCAGTGAGTGGCACATAGAAGATTTCAGTCGGTTTGGATGAGCATGAATGAAGCGTCTTCTTCTTCGCTCGCTGTCATTTTTCATCCTATTCATTCCCTTCACATCCCCCCCCCCCACATCTTCTCCTCTGCCTCCTCGTCCTTCAATCTTCTCTCTCTCTCTCTTCTTCTCTCTGTCTTCTTGATGTTTGACAGAAGTTTCTCTCATCCTCGATGGCAGCTGTTGCCATGGTTGTGTCAGCGCCTCTGAACTACCTGCTCTGGTATTTCTATGGACACAGATCAGGATGGCACTGGGCTCCGAGGGGTAGGAGGGAGGCAGTTCACTTGCGTCAGCGGTTCTGTGTTCGGGAGACAGACTGACGGAGACAGAATGAGCGGAGGACGAAGACTTAGAATTAGTGTCTGGAAAGTTATTATAAAGACGAGAGCAGGATCTGGAGAAAGAATGACATAAGAGTGAGAAGCTTCAGTTTAGAGACTGTTGAAGAGTAATCTCGCCAAAATGCAGATCTCCCAATTTTAACTTCTAATACGGCCTCGTTCAATTTCAATCCAGCAACAACAACAACAACATGAAGCGACAGTGAATGATCTGAAGTGTTCCCCGGGGAGGTCTAACACTGATTCCTGCTGCCGTTCCATTAACACTGGAGAGGACATGATGACAGTCGAACAACAGGATTTTACAGTTTCCCCTGCTCTCCATGATGAATCATAAATTATGACTTAAATGAAAGAAGAAAGTGACTGCTCAAAAAAGAAAATTGGTTTTCATGAGAGACACTCACTGTTTTTAGGCTGATACTGAAATAAGATTAAGTTAAATAATCATGAAAATGTATCTTTTAAAAAAAAAAGTGTTTAAAGTTTATGTAACATTCAGCCTAGAAAACTTTGCTTGTAGACCCATAGACTGTAAAAGACATGGACACAGTCTCAGGAGTGGAGTTGAGGTGGGCGTTAAGCCCCCTGCCAAAGTGCTATAACGCCCCCACCTGTCAGTCAAATCAGCCACTCCCTTTATTATGCTTAATGATGCATAACTCTTTGCCTTAACCATGGACTGTATATTAATATGGACAGTGCCTCTCAGTCTCCTTCCAATTAACAAATTTGAAGCCTAAATACCCCCGCGACAGACGCTAACATATTGCACTGGTGAATTGATTTGGAACCAAGACAGCCCCTTCTGAAAACCTAAGCGTACATTTCACTTTTTTTCCCCACTGCTGCCCGTCATCATCCAGCTGTCGTTGTGTCTCCTCATATCTCATTCTCTTGCCAATAAACTTCTGCCACGTTCATGTCACAAGCAAGAGGACTTATGAAGTAGTGACGCAGTGAATCAAACTGGCAGGGAAATCTGTGACGAGCTAAAATGCTTTTGTTTTGAAATATCCATTATTGCTCCAGAAATGTGATAATTGTGTCACAGGTCAGGACAACAATACACAGTGAATATTTCCTTATTCATATTTTGTCCCCCACCAAGAGAGGAAACAGGTTAAATTGCATTGCTTTAATCTATTCCACTCGCATAGATTTCCCATTCAATAAGGTTATAAGAAAGTGGGATTATTTTAGTGTCATTGGAGTTAAAGTCTCTGCATGTTTGTCAACCACCATTGATCGTGTTTGTCTCATTTGGTCTTTCTCGACTCTCTCACTGATCAACCGTTCTTTAGTTTTTAATTTAAAGCTCAGCTGCTCAGAAAATCGTTAGCCAACCACGTTTTATCAGCAGCGGTCTTGAATAAGGTTTAAAGTTTCGATTTCACGTCTGCCAAATCCAGGTTTTCTAAGCCTATATCTGTAGCTGTGATGGTAAAAAAATCAGTCAATCTTACTGATCTGATACTCAACATGAAGCCCCCCCACACACACACACACACACACACACACACACACACACCCAGCCGTCACATAAAGCTGACATTCCCGTTCCTTTCTCTTATCCGTCATTGAAACACAGATAACGCTTCTATTCATAAGCGTTCTCTGCTCTGCCTGTTCGACAGCAGGGAATCGACCCCCTGACAAAAAGCCCTCCTGCAGCCTCTCCTTCTTGACCCCCCTCGCTTCCCATACGGCCAAGCAATCAAGGACAACTGCAGATGGTGCAGCAGAGCGTCCTGCCTGTCCGTATGGTAAAGCACAGAAAAAGAGAGAGAGGGACAGAGGCTGTGACTGACTGCAGCTCCTCTGTCGGGACTCCCACTGACCAAACATCTGTGTGTGACACACTGACTGAGGCTGCTGTGGTTTGTGTTGTTGCATCACTCAGTCACTTTGATATCTTTTGGGATATTTAAAGTATAAGAAGCATTTTACTCCGTTGGCTAGCTGCTCAGACGTGACCAGTTGTGATACCTTAGGAAGCAAACTCTTGACGTTTTTGAGTTAAAGTTGCTTTGGTTCTGAGAAAGATTCATGTGGACTTTCAGGTGATTCGTTGATACTGTGTGTGAATATTTCAGGGAAAATATCGCACAGTGATTAGAAGTTGCAGCTTGTAAAAACAACCTTTTATTATCATTATTATTTGGGGCATGTCTGCTTGTATGCAACAGGTGGAAGTGGTTAACTTTAAATTTTGTGGTTATGTTGTGTAACCTACAGTCATGGGCACTAGTTCATGCATGTGTTACCTCCAGGTTGGATTACTGTAATTCTCCTTTCTTCAACTGATCCAGAACGCTGCAGCTCGTGTACTGACTAGAACTAGGAAAAGGGATCACATTACTCCTGTGTTGGCTTCTCTGCACTGGCTCCCTATAACATCTAGATCCTTCTTCTCACTTACAAAGCTCTAAAGGTCAGGCACCATCTTATCTTAAAAAGCTAATAGTGCCGTACTGCCCTTTGAGAACATTACACTCCCAGAATGCGGGCCTGCTAGTGGTACCTACGGTCTGTAAGTGTACTATGGGAGGTAAAGCCTTCAGTTATCAGGCCTACTCCTTTGGAATTATCTTCCAGCCGGGGTCCTGGAGGCAGACACACTCTGTACTTTTAAGAATAGATTTAAAACTTTCCTTTTTGATAAATCTTATAGTTAGGGCTGGTTCTGGTGTAGACCAGCTCCTAGTTATACTGCTATAGGCTTAGACTACTGGGGGAACTGACACCTTGGGCTCCTCTCTCTCTCTCTCTCTCTCTCTCTCTCTCTCTCTCTCTGTGCATTCACATCATATTACTATTATCACTAACTAAATCTTAGTTACTAACAACATCTTTTCCTGGGAGCTCCTGAGCTGACATGTCTTCAAGGTTCCTCAGGATTGTCGTTTGGGACAGCCTGCTGCTATGGACGCCCCCCCCCCCCTTTTTTTGTCCCTATCCTTCTTATCATATCCCTTCTACCCCTATCCCATTTTTCTATCTATTATAACAATGAATCAGGTCTCTTACCTCACTTATTTTTTTCCATCTATTCTGGACAAAGCTACATTTTCTCTACTTTGTGTAAAATGAACCCCCCCCCCCCCCAACACTCCTGCTAGGCTGTGATGAAAACCATATCCCCATCATGACTAGTTTTGGTGACTGTACTTCACTCCTGACCCCGTTTATCTTCACTGAGCCGTCATATGTCCTGTTTCAGTCCGCAGTCATCGTGCATTCTTTTACTGTTCTTCACTTATGCAACTCAAGATTGGCCTGAATGATTTTTGTTTGCTCAACTTAATCCATTTTTTCTTTAAAATCTCAAAACAAATGTTAACACATGGAGTCATAACCCGGATATGTGGCTCTGCTGTGGTTAGTAATACAGCCCCTGAGCCTTTTTAGAGACCGGAGCCCTCAGTCAGTGGATGTTTTGGAAGCAGAGTGGCGTGACATGCTCGCCCTGCTTTAGCTCCGGCACTCATCAACAGTTTACACAAAGACAGTAGCCGCTTTCCAGACAAACACAGGTTCAGCAGTACAGACATGTTTAGGTGTGACGGTCGCCTTCTGCAGCTGGGTTAATCACACAGCCTGGAGTTGTCTTTGTCTTGGGAAGGAAATTAATGTTGTTTTTGAGCTAAACTCAAACAGACAGTTGTAGCTATTAGCAGTCCTATGGGGGGATGACTGCACTGGATTTATGTCAAACTGTTTCTGCTTTCTTCTCAGGGGATTCATTCACTCAATTCCGCTTTTCTGAGGAAAAGGACTGGGAGATGGACTCATTTGCAGCCAACAAGGTAAATCTATACTGTACCCAATCAGCAGCACTCTTGTCTAGTTTTTCTTTTTCTGTCTTTATGGATGGAGCCCACTTTGTGAAGTGTAGATCATCACTTAATGAGACAGTACGTCTGGGTTGAAAAAGCAGAAAGTCAAGTCTGTTTACTCACAATTTGGCCCTTAATGAACGTCTCCACAATCACTACACTCGTGTTCTCAAAGGTTGGAAAAAACTATGGATTACATTTATGACCCATGACCCATGACCCTAGTTCATGGTCCACAGGAAATATCAGAAAATGTTTTTTTTAAATCAGTGTTTCCAAAAGCTCTAGAAGATATCTTCATGTCTTTTTACAGAATGAGAGCCCAAAGATATGAGGTGTACTGTCATAGAGGACGGGAAAAACCTGAAGTGTTCACATATAAGAAGCTGGAAAATTGGAAGATTTTGATTCTTTTAAGAAAAGGAAGAGAAGCCTCCACACTTAGTCATTTGCCACAAAAAGTTAAATAGTTCCTCTAACTTTTCAATCCAATGGGGTTCAAAAGATGACAGTGAATTATCTTCTTCCCCTGTTCGTTTATCATATCATTTAGTGGAAACAGGCCTATCAGACTTCAAGTGTGCAGGCACCCTCATACAGCTGCTTTTTACGCCCCTTGATTTGTCAGGAAAACGGCAAACCAACGTGTGTTGCAGGGATGGAAGAGGCAAGCGAACTGGTTCAGATAGAACTGATTCTACCTGAACTAAAAAAGCATGTTTTTTTTTAATAAGCTCCATGAGCAAAAACCTGATAAAACTAGGATGAATAATGGAGATCGATGCAGAGGTGGCTAAACACTGAAGCTTCAATGCCTGCGACATGGCAACCTGGCGTGCACATCAACTCTACGGAGCAGGGGGAAGAAAGCTGAAGTGTTTTTACTTAAGTACCAACTTTAAATGCTATGTGTCAGAGTTACATATTCCTCCTTCCTCAAACCGTTTAATTCATCACCAAAACAGTTAGAGATAAACTTGATAACTGATAGTCACTTGTTGCAGCTCTACAAAAACATCATGTCAGATGTTTCAAAGAAACTCAAACTGAATACATAAAGCAAAGTGAAACTTAAATCAGCACAAGTTTCTCTGTAAGTGTTAAATAAAAGCTTCTTTGAACTGACTCTACCTTCCTTCATCTGTCTGCAGAAACAAAGCAGTGCGTTAAACAAACACAGTATGGTTATGTAACGCTGCCTGAACTCTTCCTGCTTCTTGAGATACAATGTTTTGTTGTTCTTGTTGTGCAAGAACAAAAGAGGACTGACCCTCTGTGGTAGGCCACTTATATTGATTACAACATATTTTAAGATGTAGCAATGAGAGAAGAGTTTTCACCTTTTTGCACACAGAATAGATCTGATCTCTCCTGGTGCTCACATTTTGAGGTTTGATTCTATATCCTGATGAGTTTTTTGGAGTGTTACCTTTATACATATGAGACTTCTAGGTGGTGGGCGCTTCAACAATTTGTGTTCCTGGTTTTTTTTTTTTCTCCCCTAGATGTCTGGAGTGTTTGTGGACCTCCCAGCACTCGCTCTGAGTCTCCAACAGCTGCCTCTCCATCAGAGACTTAACCTGGAGGCCGAGCTGCTTCAGGTAGTCTGTTTGACTCCACTGCTGAAACACAGTTGTAACAATTTTTTGTGTGGAGGTTTTAATGTTTATGATCTTTGTTATCATGCCATCTTGCAGTAATTTTCCCACTTATCCTCACTCCAGGTCTCGACACCAGTAGAACTACCCGCTGTGACCATCACGCCGAAACAGGAGACGCCCAAAGCGGCCACAGTCCCTCCTTCATCTGCAGCTTTCAAAGTCCTCAGCACCAACCAGAAAGTGACTGCCGCGACAAACCCAGCGTCAGGTCCAGGCTCCAAGGTTTCCTCTGATGCTGCGGAGCCTCTGCAGGTGGACGATGCTGATGAAGAGCTGGACCAGCTGCTCAGTTTACAGAAACCAGTCGAGGTCGTTCCAGAAAAGCAGACCGTGTGTGTGGAGGACGAGGAGAGAGCGGCTCCGGAGAAAGGTGAATGTTCAGAAGGATTTATTCCAGCTATTCCTCCATAACCGGTATGAAGAGTTTGACATTTTGGGAAATACACTTCTTTACTTCCACAAACATGAAGCTGGTGTAGTCTAGCTTGGTTTTGAATGAGGCCAGGAAACAATATACAAGTTGAAGATGCTTTATTGGCATGAATGGTAACACAACGGTTGTTACCACTCATGCCAAGAAAGCATCTTGACCTTGAATTTGGACACATTAAACACGGAAATTAACGTTTACAATAAAGAAAGACTTTAGTTGAACGACTTTCTGCTTTTGAAGCCAGGAACAGGCTCAGATAAGAGGAAGTTCATGCCCTTGCCAAAACGAAGTCCGACACATAAAGCCCCTTAAAAAGTTGAATTGAGATTAGTAAAATAAATTGTTTTTGTACCTTTTCTTCTTTTTTTTTTTTTTACAAAAGAAATTAACTCGCTAATTAGTGAGCTGGAGAGCTGCTGAAGGCCATTTCTTTCTGTTGGGTGTTGCAAGGCTACCCTTTTTCAAAACAAAAAACTAATTTACAGCAGGCGAAGCTAACAACTGCTAGCTATAAAGTAGTCTTGTATTAACTGTGCAGATATACATGCTGTCAATATTTAAGTCCTGTATTGAATCCACATTGCTCTTCAGATATAAACTTCAGCATGAAACATTTGAATCACTTGAAATCGAGCATGTTCTCAGTGTGAAGTTGTAGTTTTTTTTTTCCACACATGGACTCCTGTGATGGTACATGTTCATTATTTTGCCGTTTTTTCTTTGTGTCTTTAGCGTGTGAGGAAGTGAAGGAGGTGGTGGAAGAGAAGATGGAGGAGGTGAAAAACAAAGATGTGACACCTCCTCAGTCTTCTTCCGTCAGGCAGGAGGTGACGGAGGAGGACCTGGAGGACTGGCTCGACAGTATGATCTCCTGACCACCACACACTGAGGAGGTGTGTTAAAGCAAACTGGACTTCTCTACATCAACTTTCAGACTGAAGATTTAAAGTTTACAAGCGGGACGGACCTTCACAAAGGACTTGAAGGGTTTTTTTTTTTTTTTTTTTGTCACTTTGCTTAAGATGAAGTTGTGGTCAGGTAATTTGTTTGTCTCGTTTTCTTTCCGCTGTTAGCGATGGGACAGTACGTCCCGAACGTTTGTGAGATGGTGTCATAATGTTCCCTCTACGTGTCGCGGAGGATTATTCTCTGCTCCTTGTGAGGCTGTGAAAAGTTACACACCACAGGAGTGTCTCCATCAGAGATGTCACACACACACACACCGAAGGGACGGACAACACGTCAGGTTTATTGCGTCAATTCCTTTATTCACTTCCTCCCCCCCCAATCGAAAGAAATGCAGGTGTTTACCAAAAGCTACTACATACATACAAATGGCCATACAATAGCAGGTAACCATTTTGTCACCAATAAATCTTTGAACCAACTTCTTGTTCTCTTCGTCTTCCTCAGTCGCGGGGCTCTTCTTCTGTGACGAGAAGTGCAGGCAGGCAGGACACCACAGCTCAGAAACAAAAACCAAACTAAGCAACATTTACACAAAGGTCTTCTAGATTTTATACAACAAATGTTTTCTCTCTCTCTCTCTTTTTTTTTAACTTATTTAAAAGCCACAAAACTAGCTGGAGCTAAATCTGCTTGTAACTAATCCAGAACTAGAGCACTGCTTGTGTCAGGAGGAACAAAAATGATCAGTTTTTTTTTTTTTTTTTGCATAGTTTCTCATAAGGCACGTCGGCACTGTTTTAACACCTTAGGTGGGGTCATGTGTGGTCCTGAAAGAACCATTTTCATTTCGTTAGACGGGTTTGAAAGGCAGGTCAGGTTCTCACTCACGTCGTTTTCATGTTCGCTGGATCAATGGAGATCCAAACCAGCAGCACACACATCCATTCGGTTGGTTTGGTAAGAAGTGACACTATCGTCCTGGCGTTCGATCTACAAATTTGTGCATATTCAGACATTCAGTCGTCTCGCTGTAACCCTTCACATGTATCAAGTGTCTACACACGGCAAAGTTGTGCATCAGGTTGGGGGTTAAGCAAGTGAAAAGGCAATGTGAATCAGAATCAAAAGAAGAATTTGCATAAAAGGAGGCGTCGTGGCGACTGAGCACAAACCCAAAGCGTCTGATCGTCACTCGTTCGTCTTCAAATCTTTTTCTTCAGAATGTTTTTTTGCAATTCAAAATGAATGACTTTGTTGTTTTTCTTCATTTTTTTTGTTATTGTTGTTTGTTTGTTTTTTGACACCATGGCAGCAGAGAAAGTCCAGCAAGTGTTCAGGTTGTGTTAACAGGGTGAAGTCAAGTTCAGTGTCTCTTTCAGGTAGAAGGAAAGGTGAGAGAGGAGCACTGGAGCGAGGCTGACCTCTTTAACCCAACTGGTCCTCGTATTGCTTACGGAAGCAGTCTCCAGTGGGGTAGAAGTCCCAGCATCTCTCCTGGTACATCTTCCACACATACGACTCCTGCACACAAGAAAAAAACAAAACATCTGATGTAGATTCATTTATAAAGATGAAAAAATAAAAGATTAATTTGTTGTAAGGAGGACCACTGAGCACACTTAGAATACCCCTGTGGAGGGTCTTTGAATAAACACCTGATGATGGACTGGGAGACCATACGGCACTTTGGGGACTTTTAAGTAAGAATGAATCAGACAGAGGAGCCGCAATGAAAAGATCATAATTGACGAGTTACAATAAACAAAGCCTCCAGCAGCTGATCAATGTAACACTTAATGTAGATTCAGGAGGGAACAGATACTGAACTCCTGTAACATCAACACATTTAAAATGAACGCCTTCAAAATCAGTCCAACAAGACTAATAAGATTGTTTTTGGTGCCTACATTACCGACAATGCAACTTGAATACAGCTTTTTTTTTTTAAGCGTTCATGTGTTTGGAGCTTCTTTCTCCTAAATCTTACACAAAAAACATGTTTTGCTCAAATTTAAACAAAATACATTCTGATGTAACATCTACTAAAGAATACACAGCAAATGTCCTGCCTGGACGATGTTTTAATAAAGCATCCTCTTCTATATTATAACGGCAAAAAGCTTGTGCCAAAATGTACGAGGCGTCTTTTTTGTTTCAGAAACATGATGCAACGCAACAAATTGTAACTCACAAGGAGAAAAGTGGTCAAGTGAGCGATGAGATTTAAAAAAAGACCCCACAGTCACTAAAAGTGCTGCATTGAGTTAATATATTACTTTTCTTTTTAAACATTTGGAGTATGTAAAGAAAAGCAAACATAATTGGCACACCAAGAAGCTCCCTTTTGTTTGAATAAACTCTTCAAGCGGGATCTTCTTGATGGCCGATCTTCGTTTACTTTTCTGAGCCTTTTCGTTTTTGAGCCAGCACCCACTGAGGGATGTGCGTGTCTTTTTGATTTGACAAAACTTTGGAGCATGACTTAATTTTCTGCACGGACACAAACTTCCTACAATCGGCTGAGTTTTAAGTTTTTTTCCAACCGAAAGCAGCTGCAGCAAAGTTTAAAAAAAGTGTGACATAAGAACAAGAAGAACAGAGCATGTACATCAAACACAAATATAACTTGCATCTCAGGTGCAGGACAATAACAAGTTAATATCCAAAAAGTCAAAGTCAGCCCACGCATTGCTTCTTCCTCCTGCTTGGCTCGACTTATGCAACATAACAAGTGGGTTGAAATGCTGCACAAGTTAAATCACACTGAAGTTTTCTGTTAGCACTTTGCTGCCTTGAGATCAGACATGGGAAAAAAAAAAAAAAAAAAAAGATGCAGCATCTCAAAAAAATGCTGAGGAGAAGTGAACTGTTTGCACTTACCTGACCCGTGTGTTCAGTCTCGTCCTTGTTAATCAGGTACATGAGGAAGAACCTGCAGCCAGAAGGACATGAGTGAAAAGACCACACAGAGAGAAGAAACACTTGAGACTTTTATCACTCATTGACATCGTCTGAGTCTCCGCTGCACTCACAGGTAGTTTGCAAGGTTGTGCTCTTGTAAGGTGTGGGTTTCGAACCCATGAGGCGTTCGGTCAAAGTAGTCGTTCCCGATGCCGCAGATGAAGCATTTGGTCTGAGAGATAAAAAAACAAGAGTATGTGTTTAGAATTTGAAACGGTTTTCAACTTAAACACTCTTAATCTAGCTGCTAAACATCTTTACAGCCAATGGTTGAAGGAAGAATCTTTGATCCAGTAGATGTCGCCCTTGAGCATCAACAGGAAACCAAAACTGCTGTTTGGTGAAGCCTCTGCTCTCCTCCAACTGCACACCTCCAACCCACTCACGCTCACATGAAGGAGTTATCAATGAGAACGCACCACGATTAAGCTCCGTTAAGCGCAATGTTCCCTTTGCTCGAGCTGCAATTGCCTGTGGTCCTGCATTGCTGTGTTAGCATGCTAATGTTAGCACACTTTAGTTAACTCAGTGCTTCACATTGCACATACTTTAACTCGACACAGAATGACCGAGCTATCCTGACAAATTAACTTCTTAATTACTTAAGAATCTGACATGCCTATACTGCAGCTTGAATGTGAGTTCAAAGTTGAATTTTTCATCACTTTAAAATGAACACACTAACCTCCATGTCCTCTTTGACCTGCTCCTGTTGGTCTCTCAGCTCCCCAAAGGCATCGATGATCAAACCTGAAGGAGTCATAGTGCTGAGTTACTTTTCTTACAATGCATTTATCGAGTTCACATGAATACATACATGACGAGGCTTCAATACATGGAGACTGAGTTGATCTCATTTTCAGTCTCGTGTATGCTAAAGGCTGCAGGGCACATGTGATCCCCAAAGATGAAAGCCATGAAGAGGAACAGACTGAGTACCCTGAATGATGGCCAGCAGGATGACAATGACAAAGAAGAAGAAGGTGATGTCGAACAGGATGCGGTAGAGCTCGTAGGGGTCTCCAGCTGGGTCCTCCAACTCGTCTCCGATACCTCCTCCAGCTCTCACACCCACGTACATGTGGAACAGGTAGCACTGCGGAGGGACAAGAGGAGTCATTTCAGTCATCTCACATTTTAGGATGAAAGAATGAGCAGGTTATTCTATGCAGATGCCTTTAAAGGTAGAAAATCAAAATTTAATGAACTAATTAGAAAATTAGAAAAAAAATTATAAATCAAGAAGAAAACAGGAGAAAATCTGACTTCAATTATTGAATGAAGCTAAAGTATAAAGCCTGCAGGGAGAAAATATTTATTTTAAAACGATTATAAAAACGACTTCTGTGCTTAGAAATAGAATTCAAACTAATTATTTACTAATCAATAAAACTATGGTCATGCACAATAAATGTTTTAAATGGAAGCCTCACAAATCAATTAATTGGAATACTTTCGGCTTTGTCCAGCAGCTACAGCTTATACAACACTCTGATGAAGGCCAGTAGGCAAAAAGCATTCACAGTCAAAGCCTGAGGAATCTTTTTCAACTCCTACGTGTCCTTGACAAAGCTGCCCGCTTGTTCTGCCTCTATTAAAGGAAGGAATTTTCCATTTTCACGCGTTCAACTTGAAATTAAAAAAAAAAAAAAATAACATCAGGTTTGTTGAGGAGCAGTGCAACCCCGAGAATATTATCAAGATCAGTATGATGATGAGGATGAGGAGGATGAGAAGCGGTAAACAATGATGCCAAAAACATGTGCTGCCATGAATCGGCTCATAAACGGTGGATCTTGATTTTAAATGACCACTTCAAGGAGAACTTTTATGACACATTAAGGCAGAGTAGATGGGGGGGGGAGAGACGTGCTGCTGATCAGGCACAGGAGATCCTAACAGGGCTGAGATGGGCGCAACGTGACGCTCTTTTTCAGAGGGCGAGTCGGCGACATCAGTGTAACCAGCTCTGCTCTCGTAAATATAGATTCTGCAAATGGCTTAATGTCGTTGTCCCAGTCTGTGAAAACTTGTTGCACTACAGCGCTGTTGAAGCATGACGTGTGGAGAAACAGCTGGAGCTCCACACACACACACAGCTCTTCCCTGCTGGCTCCTCCATTCATGTTTTGCCCCCGTCACGCCTCATTTGCTACCTCCGATGAGAGCACAGAGGTGGGGTCACTTCGTCCCCCCATTACGCCTCTGTGACATTCACAATGAAGGTGTGACGTCACAGGGGTGTAAATATGATGCCTTTAATGGGCAGTCTGAATGAGGAGCCTACAGGGGGACAGCTCTGTGCGTATGTGTGTGTGTGTGTGTCTGCCTGCCTGCCTGTCTGTGTGTGTCTGTGTGTGTGTGTGTGTGTGTGCGCGCTGTAACACAATTTAAAATGAAAACCTCTTTACACCCACACAAGGTGTTTTTAATTATTCTGGCTGATTAGAGGAAAGGGTTGTAAAAAGGTGAAGCTGTGGTGAGAATTTATCAGGTGATGAATTCTATGCGCCAACA